CTTTCTTTACCCAATTTAGTCTCAGCCCTTCTAGTCCCCTGCTATGACCCCAGTCCTTTCTGAGACCATTTCTTCCGTCTGAGAACAGTAAACAGTCTAGTGAGACTCCCGCTGAAGGATCTAAAGTCAGAGGCTGATTACATTTTCATGGGGTCCCTCCTCACCCCATCCACCTTCAGTCTTGCCTCCTTCGTCCCTTCTGCCTCAGGCCCCACCACATTCTGCCCCTTCCTCCCAAGGCCCTACTCCGTTCCACCCCCTGGCTACCCAATTCCACCCCCCACAACACATTTCCTTTTTTTTTTCCTTCTTCTCCCCTCTGGAGATCTGATGAGCTTTTACCCCTCCCCCCTCCCCCCCCCCCCCCCCCCAGCCTTAGGCTGCAGCAGGAAACTAGAGGTCCTCCAGTTCCAGGGTGTTAGGCAGAATCCAGGTGCTAGGGCTTCCCACACTCTCTTCTTACCAGAGTGACATTGGATTCCTTTACCCAACCCAGTGTTCCTAAAGGGGAGCAACATACAGGGGTTACCATTTTTCTCCTCCTCCCTCCCCCCCAACTGGCAAGGGCCCCATCAGCTAATCGGCTACTGTCCACAGTGAATTCTCTTGGGGTTTGGACTGCTTTTTCTCTGTGGACTTTAAAAAAAAACAAAAAAAAAAACACACACACACACACACACACAGCCACCATCCTCTGCCAGGGACTGTAGGAGAATCCAGGCCTGCCCATTCCTCTGAGTTCCAATAAAATCTGAAGCAGTTTGAATCAGTTTTTTGCACACCCTTACTGCTTCCCACCACATCTCTTGTGGAAGCTATTTCCCAAACTCACTCAGTATTCCTCTCTCCTGGAGAATCAGCTAGTTTCCTGACTTCTTACCAATCTGCTGTAGCAGGCTCAGTTGCTCAACCATCCACTCTGACTTTCTGGCTTGTAGCAGCTGTTGTGAGGTTATCAATCAGCCCCAGTTGAGCAGGCAGCCACTTTCCTTATTAACCTTTCAGTGACTAGGACAGTATAGGGTCTATACACCCTTGACAAATCCCAATAACTTCACTGGGATTCTGTAAAACAGCACCCTGGATCAAGACAGTAGCATAATCAAAGTGCCATGCACTCTTAAGACATTCTTGGTCAGGTTTTTGTGAGTCTCACACTCAGAGCCAGAGTTTTAAGAACTCCTGTTTATACAACACACAAAGTGGACAGAAATAAAAGAGCTCAACTGAAATGTATCAAGTTATTCCGACATCTGTGAGTCACAGCGAGAGCATGATGTGTGCCGGGCACTTCTGAAAATCTGACAAAATACAATTGATTAATAATACATTTGTATCAGAACTCAAATATTATCATTTGGAGCTTAATAGAGGACGGTAACACATGAACAAGCTTTTGGCAAATAAAATAAACAAATCCCATGATAATTAGAAGAAAAATATGACAAAGTTTACTTCATAAAAAAATGAACAGTAATACACTCAGATATGGAAAATGCTGCATTTATAATATAAGAGGTTAAATTCTTAATACATTTTAAAATTAAGACAAAAATAAGAGGAATAGGAAAATAAATAAGTATCTCCTCATTGTTTTAATTATTATTACATCATGTTATTCATTCTGAGCCAGAATCACACAGTCCAATAACTCAAGAAGTGATTTGTTTTAGCAAACTATCTTACTCCCATTCTGACCTTCATGCAAAGGTGAAAGTAAGAAGATGCGCACAGCTCTGGCAAGAACTGGCTGAGTTGCTGCAAAAGCCAGCAAGGAGCTATTTAAAGAACTAGCAGGGACCCAGGTTTCAATAGGACAGTACCTGCAAGAAAATTAAGTTCCTTTCCTCCCTGCCTTCCTGCTCATACTCTTCATCTTAAATTGTATCACCTCTGATCCTGTAGAAGCCATCGTTGTTGTTCCTTCTAACAGGAAGTGTGATAGTTGGCATGTTTGGAGGATGATCATTTCTCCTTCAAAACTGTTTTAATGCCCACATCAGTGTCCATTTGTTTCACATAAATTAATCTAATTTTGTCCCTTTATTAATAAACTCCTCTAGATTGGCCACCTCAAGAAGCCACCTACAGAGCTGGTGAAATGCATGGCAGATTGTGGAGCATCTGCACTCAGCCAATCATCTCACTACACCAAGCCTGTCCCAGGGTGACAGCCTGCTCCCACTTTGCTCCTTCCAGTGACATTGTGTCCTGTACCTTGCCAGCCCTAGTTTACAGTTTGTTAAATCTGTCTTGTTCAAGCCCTTTGTGATTTAACTGTGCACGAATTGCTATTGGTCTGACTGTTCTGGACTTTTTTTAATAAAACAAATACAAAATAAACCATACTATAAACAGTAGCGTGTACAGCGGAATTGTATAATTACTATTTTAAATGAAGCTGAGAAACTGCTTCAATTCAGACAACAATTCTGATTCATATTTTGGCAGTTTTCTTAGCATATAACAGAGTTTGGGGCCTTGAAGGATACAAGGATGCTGGCTGGAAGAAAAACAAGCATTTGGGCTATGAATACACAATATGATGTGGAAATCTCAATATTGTCTCAATACTGGAAAGCTCTGAAAGAAGCCAGGGCCAATTATTTCTCCACGATAATTGGAGGGAGTAAAGAGCAGCCAGGAACTTTCGTTAGAACTATTACCACTATTATGAATTCCAATTTAGTCCTCTGAGGCAGTGCCAGAATGTGAGGAAAAACATGTCAATAGTACTGTGAACTTTCTAAAAACTGCAGAGCTCTTATCATTCCTGTATCTTAAGATAGTCTTCTGATTCATATTATTTATTGATTCTAAACTACATCCCATAGTATATTTGAGATATTAAACTAGTTGCAGTGCTTATTATTGCTGGATGAATTACTGCACTTGTGACCCAGACTTACTGAGCTGATTTGCTTTGGTCTCTTGTGCTAATTTTTAATCAACAAATAGATGGAGAGAGATAACGTTTTCATTAACACATTAATTTTGCATTTAGAAAGATTCCCACACTCAGGGGATGATTGGGTTTATGCTCCCAACTTCCTGTCCCAAAATAGGAGGAAAGGGCAGAGTGAAGAAGTATGGTATAGAAAACTAGAATTGAAGCTGCCTGTCCAACTGTTTTCTTCCAATGGGAGCAGGAAACCAATAAACAATTCTTTTAAAAATTTTCCATTAGCAACTAATCCCAATTGAGCAATCATTTAATACCTTCGGTGGGAACATAGAGATAGGAGCTTTTCTACTCTTTTTCTCTTCTCAATACAGCTAGCCACGAACCCGAGAAAAGAATATTTACCCAGTGATTCCTACTGGATGAGCAGAGTGGATAGAGACAATGGACTGGATTTTGAAAGAGTACAGCTCCCATTTAGGCACCAAAAAAGTAAACAGATTTTCAAACAACATGTTAGGTATGGAATTCTTTTGGACCCAAAACACTCTCTTCGGGCTCCTATGTTAATGGCACAGCACTCCCTCTCGGCAAGCAGAGGACTGCAAAAGAGTTCACTCAGTCTTGCAGGATGTTCAGTTGGTTTCTGCCTCAAGCTCCAAAAGGGGTGTGTATGGACTTCCTCTTATTCCTGATGGGGTCCCCAGATTCTGTTGCCTTGGGGGGAGGGGATTGCAAAAGCCACCCTCGGTTTTTAATGGTTTGTCACATTTTCACATCAAAGGCTATGAATGGGACATGTCCAGTCCACTTAATTACCTTCATTAACCTGGATCCTACAGTTGACAGGTACTTCTTTTGCTGTTATACATACCTCTTGGTTTCTGTTATTTCCACTCCAACCCATCTGATTAATTGAGTCTAACCCACAAAAGCTCGTGATACTACATATTTTTGTTAGTCTCCAAGGTGCCACTGGACTATTTGTTGATTTTAAAGTTACAAACTAACACAGCTGACACTTTGTAACATGCAAGGCACCACATTTAGCTGTATGAAGTGGAAATTCATCAACTGAATAAAGAAACTCACAGATACAAGCAGACATCATCTTCCTCTCCAAGTGCAAACAGATGAACATCATACCCAATGGACTAAAAGTGAAAAATCCATTATAATTAGCATACTACATAGACTATAGTGAGAGATTATGCCATACACTCTCAAAGAAACTGAGGAACTACCTAATCAGAATCATACACAAAAACAGAAGAAAATCAAGAAGGAGCTCTCGAAACTAAAGACTCATAAAAAAAGCAAGCTTCCACACAAACTTCAATGCGGCTGGACCTTACAAAAACTGGACAAGCCACTTACAATGCTCACTTCACTTCCCTACAGAAGAAAAAGAACACACACAAAAATCTAAACTCCTACATTTCACAGGGTATTACAGCTCTGGTACCCTCAACTCACCTAACAACATTCTTAATCTATCCAACCATACACTTAGTCTGGCAGAAGAGTCCGTCCTATCTCAGGAACTCTCTTTCTGCCTCCCACCCCTCACATCACACAATACAGTTCTGAAGTGACCTGCAAGCCTGTTTTGCCATCTCTGACTGAAGGAATATTTCTAACTCACCATTGAATATCACACTGAACCTCAGGATCCCCCATACCAGCTGTACAAGAAGAAGATTTCTCCATGGATGGTCTAAATGACAGTCTGGACTTCTACATCACTTGGTTCCACAGACGTGCATAGGTTGTGAACAGGCAACATCAAGTGACATATAAACTCAGCCAAGCAGAATACAATGCTATCCACAGCCTCAGAAACAACTCTGACATTATAATCAACGAGGCTGACAAAGAGGGTCCTATAGTCATCATGAATAGGTCAAATTACAAACAAATTACAAATTACCAACATCATATTCTACAGGACCCTTTCCTCTGATCCCACTGAGTAATACCAAAAGAAACAACTACAGTGCCACAGGATTACTCATTGTTTTTATAAGCCCACCCACTCCAATGGGTTATAGCTCAGGACCCTTAAGTCAGGTCAGACATGTTATGAGCTCCTTCCTACCTTCTCTGCTTTCAGTAGGATTTCTAGACCCTTGGTCTGGTTATCCCTTCTCAGGGAGTTATCTTCAGATTACTGGCAAGAGTTCCCTTTTCCAGCCTATTTGCTCCTCTGGCAACAGCCTTGCCCATCTGCTTCGAAGCTCTTTTATTTTTCCAGCTGCTGTGAAGCTGCAAATCCGCATTGCTGAACAATACCCATATTAACTCCTTGGTTGCTGGTCTGGCATGTGTTCTATTCACCCCAGTAATGTCTTTCAAGCAATACTTTTGATAACTACCTACACTTATTAAGAAGGTAACTCCTTACACATACCAAGTTTCAAGTATCTAAAATGGAGGAGGGAGAAAAATTATTCTCCTTGGCCTCTGAGGGTAGGAAAAGAAGCAATGGGCTTAAATTGCAGAAAGGGAGGTTTAGGTTGGACAATAGGAAAAACTTCCTAACTGTCAAGGTGGTTAAACTCAGGAATACATTGCCTAGCGAGGTTGTAGAATCTCCATCACTGGAGATATTTAAGCGCAGGTGTGATGGGGCGCCCCCACCCCACACTGAGGACCGACCCCAAGAGGCTCTCTGGAGCCGACAGGCCGTGGAAGCCTGGCTCCGTCCGGGCTGCTTGGATGCCGTCCAGCCAGCAGTGAGACAGCAGTGAGAGGTGTAGGCGTCGGCCATGCCGCCATGGTAATGCCCGGGCCGGGCAAGGGAGAGGTGTGGGGCCCCGTGAGCGTGGCCACACAGAGTTCTCCCCAAGCGGGGATTGGTGCCGCGGTCCCGGCGCGGCGTTCAAAATGAGCCGACGCCGGGAGGAACTTCTTTTGCTGGAGCAACCCAGTGGGAGAGGAGAGCCCCGGCGGAGTCAGCCAGGACCCCGGATGCCCTCAGCGGAGGACGACCTATCTCCCATCCTGATACCCCGCGGTAAGGAAGGCGTCAGGGACAATGGGGCGGGACAGGCCCGAGGAGGAGGGAAAGGAAGCAGCCCAGGGCGGAACCCCGGAGCGACTGGCGTGCTGGCGAGTTACAGTGTACAACTCCATCAGTCGGACCGGATCCCCCCAGATCCGAGTCCTTAGGGCCCTGGGCTGGGGCCCATGAGTGAGGGTGGGCCCAGGTCCCCTTTTCCCCCTTCCGAGAGTGACAAGGAGTGGGACGAGGACTACAATAGGGACACGGTCCCACCGCCCCAACTGCGTACTTGATGAGAATGACTCGCAGGGACGGTCACAGCAGGCTAGACAGACACCTGTCTGGGATGATCTAGATGGTACTTGGTCATGCTGTGAGGGAAGGGGACTTGACTTGATGATCTCACTAGGTCCCTTCTATGATTCTATAAGACTTCCACTGTCTTCAAGGGAACTCTTATATATCTACCTCTTTTAAATGAATCTATACCAGCAAAAGGGCAAGATGATATCTGTAGAAGAGGGAATGTTTTTTCTTAGTGATATTATAGTACAGGTTGAACTTCCAAATCTGGGACTCTCTGGTCTGGCAACATCCGTGGTCCAGCAGGGCCATAGATGTTGCTGTACCAAAGAGCCCAGGAGGTGGGAGTGGGAGCCAGCTGGAGAACATAGGGCTGGGGAGCTCTGACTGAGCTAGCAGTGGCTGGTCCAGGTGGTAGCTGGGGAGCTCTGGCCCAGCTGTGGGAACTCTGACATCAAAGGGGCCAGGTGGGGGTAAGGAGCCCTTCCCTGTCTGAAGACCCCCTCCCGCATAAGCAGGACCAGGCATTATCTGGGCAAGGTGAGGCCAGGGAACCCAGGGAATCCCTGGTGGCTGTAGAGAGGGAGTGGCCGAGCGGCCAGAGAGCCCTCAGTAGAAGCTGGCCGGGAGGCCCTGGTTGGGGAATTCGTCAGCATCACTGGAGCCAGGCAGGGACAGAGAGCCCTGGCTGGAGAACCCAATCTCTGCTGGCAATGAGGCTGGGGGTGGCCAGGCAGCCCCGGCCAGAGAACTCCCAGCAGTAGCAGGGCCAAGCAGCAACAGAGGAGTCTTGGCTGGGGGGCCCTGGTGAATCCCCAGTGGTAGTAGGATTGGCAGCGGCTGGTTGGCCCTGGGAATCCCGGGCAACCCTGGTGGCAACAGGGCTAGAAACAGAGTGGAAGCCTCAGTCTAAGGAGCCTGGGAGTGAGACAGCGAGTAGGGGAGCACTGACCTACTGTGGTCTGGCAAACTCTCTGGTTCGGTACTGCTCAGAGTGCGGGACCAGAGAGGTCCAACCTGTACCAGAATATTTCCTACCAAACTTTAGATTAGACCTTGCTACTATGTCTGCCTTAAGTTTTTGTAATGACCCTCTATTAAAGAGGGAATCTGACAATTTTTCATTTCTATTTGTCTCAGTGGTAAAACCTTGTAACCATAAATAAAGGTTCTTTGATATTGTGCCTTTGAATTATGGAGTTTCCCTGACTGCATTGGATTCACATTTTTCAATAGCTATACACTTCAGCTGGCTTGGGTTTTGTACCATTATGATGCAGTATATCATATCCATGCTGATGATTTATTCATCCACCATAACAAACCACTCTGTAAAAGCTGAAACACTGTCTGATTGATGTTAATAATTGAACAGTTCCGAATTTTTGGAGGATAATACAAATAAGACAAATACTGCTATTTGGGTCTGTGATAGGATGCTTGCCCTGTACTGGTGCTTTAAGGGCAAAAACCCAGCCCTGAGTGAGGGCTGAGAGCAAAACCCCAGCTGAAACAGTTGTTGCAAATGAGGGCCGAGCTGGTAGGGTTACCAGGTGGCTTCAAAAAAAAAAATACCGTACACAGTTGATCTCAGATGGGAGGGGAGGGACTGGCCGGGAGGAGGTGGGGTGGGGAGACTGGCCAGCAGGAAGCAGGGCTGGCG